CAGGCTCTCCGAAAAATCATTGGTGAATATATTGTGGCCCTGAGGATGGAGTTGCACCTACATTAGTCCACTACTTAATTTCAATTGGATCTTACAACACCATTATTTTTATTATCTTTCTGCTTTCCATTTGGTTTTTATTTTATTATTTATTGTCATTTAATTTTATTATTTATTTTATTATTTTATCACGTTTATTATCTTGTATATATGTGAGTATCTATAGCTTTATCGGTTAGAGTGTCGACCATTGAACTCTAGGTTCAATTCTCGCTCTGAGCGTAATATACTTTACACATTGGTTCTGATTTTCCATTTAGAGTCTGAGTTTATTATTTCTATGACATGCGCGATGTTTATATAATCATTATTATTTTTTTAATATATACTTTACTTCAGTATTTTTGTTTTGCTCTGAACATCTGCTCATCATACTTTTTTATTTTATTTTTTTATCCTTTCTCTGTTCCTAATTTTTTCCTTATTTCACTTGAGCTTGACAGCTTGGTCTAGTCCTTTGATGCATATTTTTGCATTTTCTTAAAATATTAACATTTTCCTTTATTTATGACGCATTCCCTCAAATGTTTACAACTGATCACCTCAAAAAGTTATATGCAAAAAAACCTTTATTTTGTTTACCCAAAGGAGCTTGACCTGCAGCCTAATGAGAACCATCAAATCTTTGGAAGTGTTGATAAATCTATGTATGTATGTATGTATGTATGTATGTATGTATGTATGTATGTATGTATGTATGTATGTATGTATGTATGTATGTATGTATGTATGTATGTATGTATGTATGTATGTATGTATGTATGTATGTATGTATGTATGTATGTATGTATGTATGTATGTATGTATGTATGTATGTATGTATGTATGTATGTATGTATGTATGTATGTATGTATGTATGTATGTATGTATGTATGTAGGTATGTATGTATGTATGTATGTATGTATGTATGTATGTATGTATGTATGTATGTTTAACGAATTTAACAAATACCAGAGCACTTCCTATCTCATCTGTATTAAAAAACACAGATAATCTTTGTACAAAAATAAATAGCACTCTCGAGTTCCTAATAAACGTCCCCCCCCTCCCCGTTTATTAGTTTTTGAATATTTTTCCCACCCACCCTAAGCTTATTAAATCCCCCCCCCCCTTTTTTATTAATTTTTATTTGTTATTAATAAAAAAATTATATTTAAAAATTATATATCTCAAAAGTAAAAAAAAAAATTAAATGAAAATCGGCCTTAAAAATTTGAAAATAACTTTCAGTCACCGATAAAAACAAAAACTTTCAGTGTAAACAGGTTTTACAAATTGTCGACCTATTAAATCTCGATTTGCTAAAAAATAAACTTTTAGTTTATTTCTCTGGTTTTAATTATAGAATTTAATATGCTGTATATAAGTTTTATACTTTGCAAAGTATAAAACTTATACCAGCATATTAAATCCTATTGATATTATGATAAAACAGCCTAACCCTACCCTAACAGCTGTTATAAAATGCCGCAAGTCAAATGAGCGTTTGACTTGAACATGCATAAATTTAAATTTAAGATTAAACGAAGGAGGAGGGGGGGGGGGGCAGGGTCATTGAACATGCTTCCCCCCTCCCCCGTTTATTAAACTTCAGAAAAATCTCCTTCCCCCCCATTTTTAAATGTAAATTTTAAATTTACATTTAAAAAATATTATTTGGAATTGACTTTCTTAAGATTATTACTACAGTTTCCTTTTGAGCGTGCTTATGTTAAACAACAAAATATTCACATAAAAAAAGTTATTTAAAACACAGGTTTCTAAGAGTAGTATAGGTGCAGCCATCTTGTAGTATATATGTATGATCCAATGTTCATGTTGTTTCATATCGTTATATTATTTATATAAATAATAAACTATTTTACTATTTTAAATAGTATACTATTTTCCCTGTTTTTGTTAAGAATGAAGCAATAATTAAGTTATGAATGAAGTAATAACGTTTGATATCAAACAAGTTTGTTAATGTTCTATAAATTTCGACTTTGCCACATACAGCCGATTGCATTCATTTGTATATAAAGCTTTTTGTTTGATGCAGTTTTTTATCAAGATATTTACCAAATATTAGTGTCATTTCATTTTATTAATATTTAAATATGTATTATAACATAATAAAGAATATATTTAGAGCTTTGTAGACTTGTAGACCTCATATATAAAGTATATATATATATAACAGAATACAAACTATTTTGGAAATATTAATTACCCAGCAAACACACGACGTCGTGACGACGTTGAAATTAGGTTATTTTTAGGTTATGACGTCGGACGACCTTGTAATGACGTCGCTAGGACGTCGTTTTAACGACGTCTTTTAAAGACCCTTGTTTTGACGTCGCTGGGACGTCAGTTTTACGTCGTCTTTTAAAGAAACCATTTATCAGATTTTTTTTTTTTTAACTGTTGCGTTCAGGTCCGAATTACTTTTTTTTTACTTCACACGCTTATAATATAACTTTAATGGAAGCTTTTTCTAAAAGAAATTGAGAAAAATGAGCAGAAAAGAATATATGAAAAATTGGAGGAAAAAGGAGAATTTATTAAGAAAATTTCTATACGAGAGTGACAAAGATGAAGATTTTCTTGAAAAAAAGTTTGAAAAACAAAAACCATGCCACATAGAAGACTCATCCACTCCGAATAGTTCTTTGAATTGTACTACAATTTGTAGTAATCATTTAAATCAACTAGAGTCTTCGAGCCAGCTTAATTCTTCCATTCAACACTACTCTTCTTGCGAACTTTATTCTTCCAGTCAGCTTGATTCTTTCAGTGAATTTGATTCTTCTTCAAGTAGCGAAGAAAATGTAGTAGAAACAGATGTGAGTAATAGTGTGCTTGACTCTAAAGAGACATATTTTATTTTAAACTTAAAAAAATGGTTTATTAAAAATAGAATTACTCATACAGCAAGTAATGAGCTACTTTCTCTTTTAAGATGCAGTGGACATTCAGCTTTACCTAAATCTTCTCGTACTTTGTTAAAGACTCAACGCTGTGTTTTGATAGAAAAAAAGTGTGGTGGGGAGTATATTTATTTAGGGTTAAGGAATGGTATTAGTCGAACTTTCAGAGAGAATCCTTTATTCCCAATTGAGAACAACATCATATCTTTATTGGTAAACATTGATGGTGTGCCATTGCATAAATCTTCAAACTCGCAACTTTGGCCTATACTCTGCCAGTTTAGTAAGTTTACTCCATTTATTGTTGCAATTTTCTATGGTAGCCAAAAACCAACAAACTTAAAGGATTTTTTATATGATTTTTTAATTGAGTTTGCAAATTTAAGAGCATGTGGTTATGATAAAGATGGAGTTAATTTATTGGTTGAAATCCGTGCATTTATTTGTGATGCTCCTGCTAGGCAATATCTTAAATGTGTTAAAGGTCACACAGGTTATTATAGTTGTGAAAGATGTGAAATTAAAGGTAAGTCCGAGTTGTTTAGAATGATTTTAGATAATACAAATTGTGTGCCTCGTACTAACGAGTTGTTCAAGCAGTATTTGTATAAAAACACACATCAAATAAGCCGTAGCATATTAATTGATTTTAATGTTAATTGTGTTGATAGTTTTGTCTTAGATTATATGCATTTAGTATGTCTTGGCGTTGTCAAACGAATACTTATTTTTCTAACCAATGGTCCTTTACCATATAGATTAAGTTCTGCTCAATTGTTGAATATATCAGAAAATTTGTTAAAGTTTAGTGGTAAATTTCCATCTGAGTTTGCTCGTCAATCAAGAAGTTTATATGAAGTAAAGAGATGGAAAGCCACTGAGTTTCGGCAATTTTTGTTACATACTGGCTTTTTAGTTTTAAAAGATGCCTTTACACCTGAGCGTTATCAGCATTTTCTTTCTTTAACTCTAGCAATGAGAATTTTTCTAGATTCTAATGCGATTGTCCGAAATAATCATCTTCAATATGCAAAAGAATTGTTGAATTACTTTGTAGTTAAATCAAAAGAATTTTATGGTGCAACTTTTTCGGTTTATAATGTACACAGCTTATCTCATTTACACGAAGATGTTAGCTTTTTTAACTGTTCCTTAGATGAAATATCTTCTTTCCAATTTGAAAACTATTTGCAAGTAATTAAAAAGTTCATTCGCAAACCTCAAAGACCATTATCGCAAGTTTTAAAAAGATTTTCCGAGATTGAAAATCTTGAAATAAATTGTAATCAGCCTGCTAAATCACACAGAGTTATTATTTCTACTAAATAAAAAGACTCTTGGTTTCTCCTTTACACAGGTGAGTTTGCACAGATTATTGAAAAATTAGGCGACGATCAATTTAACTGTGTTGTTTTAAAAAATTGTTTATACAAAAGCGTTTTTACAGATCCATGTGACTCTAAAATCTTTAACATTGTTTTTGTTAGAAATATAAAAACTCACTTGAAACCTACTCGACTAAGCAAAAAACATTTTCAAAGAAAAGCAGTTTGTCTAGCTTACAAAGAAGGGTTTGTCTTGTCATGTTTGTGTCATGACATATAAAGTTTGTTTAAAATTTTTACTAAATAGTAAACTTTGAAATAATTTTTGGAACTTTTGTGGCGTATTAGATTACATGGCGTATTAGATTATTAGATTGTGGCGTATTAGAGTAACACTATATGTAATATATACTAAACAATGTTAGACATCAAATAATTAAATTAAATTTTTCAAAGTTTACTTTTTTGGTGATTGTCTTTAATGCCTGTAAGATTTTAATATTAATTTTTAATTTTTTTAAAACTATAAATTATTTTTTTTTAATTATTTTTTAAATTAATTATAAAAATACAATTATTTTGTTTATTTAAACTATTATAACAAAGGATATTACTAAAAATTATTATTTATTAAAGTATTTATAGTAGAATATTACTGTTTCCTATAGCCAAAATTGTTTTTATAAGAAATTAATATATATTTTTAATAAACAATATTTTAAACAGTTTTTCAAATAAAAACTATTATATATTAAAAACAAATATAAATAATACAAAGATGTCAATGAAAGATTTATGGGCATTAGTTGTAACTTCAAGCAAAGACAAAATTGGAAAAATTAGAGAGACGGAAACTTTTGTTCCATTTCATTGGATTTCCTCAGATGAGAAATGGTTGTTTTGGCCTCCTTTTCGAAAAGATGAAAAATATACAAAGGCAATTCCCAATGAAGTTACTTGGAAGAAATTTGAAATTTTAAAATTAAAAATACGAGGTAATGATTCTGTTTTTCCTTATTTGTTGTAACTATTTTATTAACAATTTATTAGTTTTTCTTCTACTTATTAAAACATTTAGGTGAAAAAGATTTGTGCGAATATGTGTTTGGAAACAGTATTCTGTCGTCATCAAGCGAAAAAGAGTGTGTAGTGAGTGAAATAAAGGATATTGATTTTAACAGTAAGACAAATTTAAAAATATTTAGAATTTAAAATTTTATTCAAATATTTTTTGCAATCTGACATTATTTGCGGTATTAAAAATATTGTTTTTTCTTTGTTGATAATTTTATTGTTATTATTATAGAAGTGGAATTGCCTAAAAAACCTTCTGAAAATATTATGTCACCAATATTTTCTTTGTCAAGTAAATCTAATAAAAAACAGGAAGTGTGTTTACAACCAACATCTTGTAAAGGTTATTCTTCTGTTTATTTGTCACCAATAAGTTTTGAGTCACTATCACCTAGCCATAAATTAAGATTACGTTCTCATTCACCTGTCTCCAAAACAAGGTCATGTTCACTCTCACCCATCTTAATGTCTGAATCAGGCTCACTTTCGCCTATTTGCAAGTCAAGATCAAAATCTCGCTCCCGTTCACCTGTGCATAGCTCTAGATCATACTCTAAAACACAGAATAGTTCCCAATCAACATTTTCAAAGTCAAAATCTAAAGCAAAGAAACTGGTTCGATGTATGAATAGTAATTTCCCAATGGATGAAGCACGTAAGTTAACAAAGTTTTGTTTAAATATTATTGACTAAATCATGACTTTATTACTAAATAATAAATATATTGACTAAAATTATCTATGAAATTCATCTAGAAAAAAAAGCTGACGTTATATGTCAGTTTTCCCAACCTAATTAAAGTACTTTTATTTAGTTTACTTAGTTTGAAAAATGGTATATGAAAGAATACACAATTGTCTAAAGAAGAAAACTGTCTCATCGATTCACTTTTGAAAATAAACTATTGCTCTATACTATTACTTTTAATTTTATTTTAAACTGATATTTTCTGAAATGTTAGTATTATATAATTTACATATTAATTGAAACAAAATTGAATATGGAAATTATAATTTTTTTATATTAAATTTTAGGATTTCAAAAAAAAACAATATCTCTTTTAACTTGCATCGTTGACTTATTGGAGAATCGAGTTCACCAAACAAATAACCTTGGTACAAAAGACATGGAAAAAGTTGATAACATGGATAAATTCAAAGAACTAGAGGAGTCTTTATCAAAAGAAGACTTTTTTTCATTTATGGTAAAGTGTTTTTAATTTTTATTGTTTTAATGCCCTATACAAATTTATTTTTGTGAAATATTTAATCTATTCTTTGTAAAACGTGCTGTCAACATGTCCGTATGACATATTATAAGTTTAAAGTAAACAATTATTAACCCCACTAACAGTCGAAGTTATTAATGTGATTTTTTTTTTAATGTTATTCAAATATGTATATGCAAATATATATATATATATATATATATATATATATATATATATATATATATATATATATATATATATATATATATATATATATATATATATATATATATATATATATATATACATATATATATACATATATAATATATATATATATATATATATATATATATATATATATTTAGGTTGGTCAGTTGAAAATGGTCGGTGGCAAGACAGTTCGTGAAAATGTGAGAAATGTCATGAAAAGGTACATACCAATATACATTGATATATTTTCAAGTTTATATGTCTTATTCCATATTAATGGATTATATAACTGATAGACAATAATATGGGTTAAAATTAAAATGATATGTTTTGGAAATTACATCGGAACAGGTTGCAAAATTGACTATAAAAATTGGAACTCAACAGCTGAATTCATAAGGTTGCCTCTAAAATTTAGAATTTAGCAGGTTGAGTTTGTGGATGGTTTTTATATCTAAGTTAAGAAATAATCGTTTGGTAATCTTTATTTAATAACTCTTTTGTAAGATTTCTACAATTAATTAACAATTTACTCCTCTACGCAGAAACAATTATTTTATTTCAGTTTCTTATTTTTTTAAAAAGTATTTGTATTCCTGATAATTTCTTTTAATTTAGGTTAATGTCTCACACTGTTATGTCATGTTTTAACATGTTTGGAACAAATAGACACGGACAAAAAAAACTATCATTTAAAGAAACAAAGATATGTAGTGTGGTTGTCGGTGAGTTAAGATTGACATATTTATATTTTTAATTGATATACTATAAAATGAGTAAAAATAACTTTAAAGTATTTCAACATATTTCATTTTGTTTAGCGAGTGTGTTATCAAATCATGAGACAACTGAAGTCGAAATTTTGGATTCAGTAAAAAACGTTTTAAAGTATGCTCCAGAAAAAAAAAGAGATGTATAGTTTTTAATTTATAGAAATAAATCCAAGCAAATGCATTATATTTTTATTTGAGACTTTATCGTGGCCATTCTTTCATAGATAGAGTTAGAAACTGTAATTGGTTAAAACATCAGCAATAATTAAAAAACAGAAATATGTTGTATTATGGCGCTTTAGTTAAATATTTAAATATTTAAAACACATACATGTGTGATTGTTAAAAGATGTTATTTAAATAAATAATATAATTTTTATGAATAACAAATATAAAAATTGCATTTAAAAACAAAAGAGGCATATTTAGTCGGCTTTCCGACCAATAAACGACATTTTGAAAATCTTTTTTGCGACGTCGTATCGACGTCTATTTTTCACCCCGGATACGACGTCGTGAAATTGTTACACTTTCCGACATTACAGCGACGTCAAAACGACCAACCTCGTGACGTCGAAACGATGTCGTACCGACGTCGTTGTGCTTGCTGGGTAGAGACTCACAATAGCATGGTAATGTAGCAAATTTAAACAAAAAAAAAAAAAATGCATTCCTTCAATAATTGTTTATACATTACTTACTATTTATAAAAAAATTTTCACGTCGCTATTTATACTTTTTTAAATAATTGTTTTATTAAACAAATAATAATAGTCATTGAAAAATTATTAATTGGATTGACTCTCTTTAGAATATTACTCCAGTTTCCTTTTTATTGTGCTTTAATTAAATAACAAAATATTCACATAAAAACATAACATGCAAGAAAAAGTTATTTAAAACACAAGTTATATATATACACAGCTCGAATTAAGCGTATCGCTATCGCGATTCGCGATTACTTTTCGCACCTTCGCGATTAGTTTTTTCGCGATCTTTCTTTTTTTCGCGATTATTCTTTTATCATTTTAGAAAAATCTAATTTTAGATAATTAATATTATTCGCTAACATTTAGCGTTCTTTTACAGTATAAAACTGCAGTGACTTCTGTAACAATAAATTTTTTTAAAAGCTGAGCATAGAGTAAAAGAAAGAAAAATAAAATATTTAGAAAATCAATTAGCAAAAATAAATTAGTAAAAATGTAAAAAAATACCTTTTCGAATCAAGTAATAAAAGATTTTGATTAAAAAAAGAAATAAAAGTTAATTGATTGAAAAGTCATTTTCTTAACTCGAATTCTCAAGGGCTTTATTCTTATTTTGCTCATTCATTATGAACAAATTTAATGATATTTTTATAAGTTTAATTTGCGAAGAATTGTAAAAGTTTGTTAGTATACTTGCTAACTTTAAATTAATAGCAATAAATGGATGCAAATAAGGACCACAGACGCAGGTTATCTACAGTTAAAATGTGGGAAAAACTTTTGAATTGCGAGTTAGAATACGATTTAAATGAAGATGAAGTTATAAGATTAAGATGCAGTTTATGTCAAACAAAATTGTTTTCTATGACCTGGATCAAACCAGGAACAATATCAATAAAAAAAGACTAACTGGCAGCGCACTTAACTAAGTGCGCAACATAAAGAGACCACGCCAATTCATCAACAAACAACATTAGGTTCAGTTTCATTATTTAACCATGTTATTTATAATACTCCTATCGGGCGTGGTTTACGTAAAATGACCGTAAAAGACGCCGACTCGTTACGGAAAAAGTTTAATATTGCATATTATTTGGCAAAACGAGAGCGTCCATTCACAGATTATCCTTATTTGATTGCATTAGAAAAGACTAATAGGGTTACAAATTTAGGAAATTCTTATGGCACTGACTGTGCAGCTGCAATATTTACAGATTACATTGGCACCGTAATTAAAAACAAATTAACTGAATGTTTAAAAAATTGTAGATTTTACTGTGTTCTCTGTGATGGAAGCACAGATTCAGCTGTATCGGAACAAGAATTGATTTACATTCTTTATTTAAAAGACGGAAGTCCGAAAGTAGAATTCTTATCTATTGAAACGGCAGAGAATTCTAATGCTGTTGGCCTGAAAAAATGTATAATAGACGCTTTTATAAGAGTTGGCATTACCAATTCTTATAAACATCTATTGGGTGTAAATCTTGATGGAGCTAACGTTAATCTAGGAGCTTATGCTGGTTTAGGCGCATTACTAAAGGAAGGCTCTCCTTGGCTGGAAGTTGTACTGTTTTAACCATCGACTTGAACTTGCTTTAAAAGATGCGTTTGAAAGTTTATCTGCCTTCAAAACTGTTGACGAACTCCTTTTACAACTTTATTACTTGTATCAAAAGTCACCAAAGCGCTTCGGAGATTTAAAAGGATTAGCCGAAGCTTGGGGTAATAGCGTTCCGAAACCAACAAATGCATGCGGAACTCGGTTTATTGATCACAAGTATAAAGCAATGAAAATTGCTTTAGAAAATTATGGTGTGTTTATGACACATATTGAATCATTGGCTATAACAGACTCCCAGATAGCAAAGAGAGCAGAGTTAAAAGGTTTTTTAAAGCGATGGAAAAATGCGTCTGTGCCTATTAATTTATCAATATATCTTGATGTTTTATCTCCCCTTAGGCGTTTGAGTTTAAGTTTTCAGAACAATATTCATGATCCAGTAAAAGCTGTAAGAAGAGTCCAAGAATTTACATGGACAATGGTCAAGCTGCAAATTCTTCTAGAAAATTCGTTAGACAATTTTCTTGATGATACAAGTGTTATGACCCATTATAAAAGACTGTCTAAAGATATTGAGACAATTGATTCAAAGCAATGTTATCAAAATATTCCACTTTCTCAATATACCGAAGTTAATAGCCATGTTCTTGACCAGTACAAACTAATTATTGCAAATATTACCATATGTATGGAAGGCCGTTTTCAATCTCTCCAAAAATCACCATTGTTTATGCATTTGGTAGCTTTACTTGACGTTTATAACTGGCCGTTAAATTTAAATGACGGTACTTTTAACGATAAAGCTATCGGTGAAGTTGTTGAACATTTTTCTGAATTTTTAATTGGTGTAGGATGTGATTTGAATAATATACTTCATGAGTGGATCATTTTAAAAGCATACATGTTTCCCATCATAAGTAACAATCAAAATGAGTATTATTTGAAAATTTGGGAAATTGTTTTTTCCAAATCAAGTTTGGTCAAAGAATGCCGAAATATTCTTGATATTTTTGAACTATTTTAATTTGTCCTTTTACAAATGCGAAGGTAGAACGAATGTTTTAATGTATGAATCGCGTAAAAAATGACTGGAGAAGTTGTCTTAGACGAGATCGTTTAGAATCTCTACTTCGGATAAGCGAAGAAGGTCCTGAGATTGACAAATTTGAACCTGATACTGCTATGGACGAATGGTATAATGATAAAGTTAGACGATTGCCAGCAAATTTTCATCGTTATCCGGAAAAATGAAAAAGAAAGTCAGGAAATACAGACATTGATCTAGCGACAGTTACAATATCAGATTTGGAAGAAAGTGAGAGCGAGGAAAAATATTGTGACAACTTTTAATTTTATTTTAGCGCATTGTAACCCCTTAAAATTAAAATATCAAATAACAACTTTAAATAGCGTATGATTTTTAGCTTCATAAAAATACTTTTACGTTAGTAAAAATCCTGAAAAATTCTAAGCATTAAACTAGTAAAATTATTACAAAACGATAAAAATATTTACGATTACGTTCTAATACTTTTTCTATTAACAATCAAAAAAAGTATTAAGTCGTAAAAGATTCTATTATTTAGACATCTATTATTTAGACATTTATTTAGACATCTATTATTTAGACATCTATTTAGACTATTATTTAGACATATTATTTAGACATATTTAGACTTTCGCTTAATTTTATTGAATGAAAAAAGAGAACGCTAACTTTTATTTGAATGAAAAAGCAATATATAAAAATATCATCGGAATTTGATAAGGTTACTTAGATAAGAAAACTGACTTGATAAGAATTTAGTTATCATTCTTGTTTGTTGCGCAGGTTTTCGTCAAAATGTAAAGTTATAACATTTTATCACAATAATGTTTTCGTCATTTTTAATAGTTTTTTATAACTGTTTCAAAATTAGAGTTTTAAATAACTTTTTTTTACTGTTAAGAATTTATAGAAAATTAAATATTCTAGTTGTTTTAAACAGTTTAAAATATATAAATAAAATAGAAGATGAAATAATTAATTAAAAGAAGGTTAGGAATATCAAGTTCATTGATTTTACAAAAATACAGCCGTTAGATGTAATGCAATATGATAATAGTAATAATGTAAACTAAAGCCATTTTACAACTGCTAACCGTAAATGTTATGACATCTTATGCAAAAATGAGACTTATTATGTATGTTAATATAAATAAGTTAAAATAAATAATGCCCCCACCCCCCACGGGGGAGGAGGGGGAAGGAGTTATGAGCAACAAAATATATATATATATATATATATATATATATATATATATATATATATATATATATATATATATTTATATATATATATATATATACATATATATATATATATATATATATATATATATATATATATATATATATATATATATATATATATATATATATATATATATATATATATATATATATATATGTATATATATATATATAAATATATATATATATATATATATATATATATATATATATATATATATATATATATATATATATATATATATATATATATATATATATATATATATATATATATATATATATATATATATATATATATACACACACCCAGTGGCGTAGCTACCATATTGCAAAGTAAGGCAATGCCTCAGGGCCCAAGAGTTGAAAGGGGCCCTTTTAGCTTTGGCCACAGCACACAGCCGCTTTTATTTTTAATTTTATATAAACAACTTGAATATTTTATCTTGTTTTCATTGCGATTCTAATTTTTTACTTTATAGAAATCTTTCAGTTAATTAGTCCTCCCCTCCCCTTTTTATTTAGATTTCTCCTAATATGTAAATTACCAGTGTTTTCGTTGGTTAATTTTAAAGTTAACGCGCGTTTTTTCCGGACCGTTAGTAACAATTTAGAAATGCTAACATTAACATGCACGTGTAGCGTCAAAAATATGTATTCGTAACAGTTGCTGAGGTTTTTAACATTGTTTAAATATCCATTGTATTTTTCTAAAAGAAAATTTCTATTTATTGTTTCTTTCTTTTATATCTCCCTTTCTCTAAAGAAATTTACGTTTTCCGTTTTTCTTCTTTAGATTATCTGAAGCATTGCAATAACCATATAGTGCTTTCTGTTTAGGGAGTTTATAATTGTACAATTTATCCTGATCATTTCCATGTTATAAGAAAATATGGAACTATTAAAGAGTAAAAGTGGGTTTCAAAAAAGAAAACTTAAAAAACAGAAAGAAGCATTAAATAAATTCCCAAAGCTAGACAAGTTTATTATTAAAAATATTAATAATAACCAAGAGAGTACTCCAGATGATGCATCGATCGAATGTGAATGTTATGATGAGTTAAATATTTTAGAGAAAAGTTATACAGAAGTGATTGCTTGCAAATCAACTAAAGCAGACTGTAGTGATGGAGAAATTAAAAAAATTTCAGATGAAATAGTTGACACAGAAGATGCTCAGGAAGTTTTAACAGGTATTAATGAAAAAAATATCATTTATACAAATACCACTATATGTAGTGACCTAGGAAAATATTTAAATCAGAACATTTCTGATGAAACCAAAAGATTACTGATAAGCATTCCTGGTCACAGACCTAAAGGACCATTTCCCAAAGATCCTAGTCAACAGAACAGAAGTTTCAGTGAAACTTACTATTATACTACATCAAACTATGGCCCAGTTCCACGATTATGGATTTGTTATTCAAGTATGTTGGACGCAGTATACTGTCAACCTTGTTGGCTTTTTTCAAGCATCAAAAATCAATGGCAATCGGGGATAAAGGATTGGAAATATTTGTCACAAAAGATAAAAATGCACAGTTCATCCCAACATCGCATTGATGACTGTGCGGTGCTCGAATTATGGAAGAAAAATAAAACCATCGATAAATAAGCTAAAGATGAAATACGATATAGGGCATCATTTTGGCAGATGGTTCTAGAATGATTATTCCGCATAACACTTATGTTATCAAAATATTATTTGGCATTTCGTGATCACCTTGAAGGATTTACTGAGGATTATAATGGAAACTTTTTATCACAAGTTCAATTACTTTCTAACTACGACAGTGTCATGAAACAAATTTTAGAAATGCCATCTGGTTCAATCCGATACTTAAGTCCGACCATACAGAATGAACTAATAAATTGCCTCGGAAAAAAGTTATTGAATGACTTGATTGCAAATATTAATTCATCACCATTTTATACCCTAATGTTAGACACAACACAAGATATTACCAAGAGAGACCAATTAAGTGTTATAATACGGCATGTTCACATTGTTAGAAAATTGTTAGTAAATCAAGAACCAACTCATTTTAAAATTAAGGAAACATTTTAAGAATTTTATGAATTGAACGACCATTCAGCAGAGGGAATGTCTAATCAAGTATTGACGTTATAGAAAGAAGCACATATTCCAAAGTGAAAAGTGTTATGGGCAGGGTTACGATGGTGCTAACGTTATGAGTGGAGTTTACAGTGGTGTACAAACCAGGATTAAACAAATCCAACCAAATGCTGAGTATGTACATTGTAACAGTCATAATTTAAATTTGGTAATTAATGACTGCGTAAATGGTTCGCATGATATCTTATCATTTTATGCTACTCTTCAAAATATTTATTTATTTTTTGGAAATAGCATAAAAAGATGGGACCTCCTCTCTATATTTACTGGGAAGTCTGAAGTTACATTGAAAAAACTAAATCCAACTCGATGGTCTGGTAGACTACAATCATTAACAGCTGTAAAAGTTCGATTTATGGATATTTTGAAGGCTTTGACTGAAATAATCCTTAAATCGACGAAAAAAGAAGAAAGAGAAGAAGCACTTCAAATAAAGAAAAAAATGGTGACATTCGATTTTGTTTTTATCTGTGTATTTTTATTTAAGGTAATGTGCGAGGTTAATTATGCTTCAAAAACTTTACAAAAACAAGAAATAGACTTGGAGGAAGCTACTGAAGTTTTAAAACACCTTCGTGAAAAGTTAAATTACATTAGAAATTCATATGAACAAATCAAATTAGAAGCAGAAGAACTGGCACGAAAGTGCCAGTTCTTCTGCTTTATCGAAACTAATTTTCAATCAAAAAGGGACATCGAAACTAATTTTCAATCAAAAAGGCATCCAGTGAAAAAGCTACATTTTGATGAATTGGCATCAGATCATCGGTTTCAGAACAGAGAGAAATTGTTTAAAATGAATAATTTTTATTTTGTATTGGACAAAATCAGCGTACAAATTGAACAACGTTTTTCGGGAATGCAAACCGTGAAAAACCTTTTTTGCTTCTTAGAACCTAAAAACATAATAAATTTGCCTGATACAGATATCTTAGAAATGTGTGAAAATGTTTCCAAAAAATATTCGAAAGTTATCTCTCCTCTTTTTTGTAATCAATTTCTGCAAGCAGTTTCATTGTTGAAAACAGACTTAACTTCAAAAGTGTCGATTAAGCAATTTTCAGATTTACTCTTTACTAAGTACAGTTGCTTAGAAAGTGAGTTTTCAGAAATATATACAGTTCTAATGTTGTTCTTTACCCTACCAGTAACTGTGGCTAGCGTTAGGACGTCCTACAGACGTCCGGTAGAGACGTCTTTGTTAGAACGTCTAAGTGACGTTTATATAAAGACGATATTAGGATTTCCATATTTAGACGTCCTATTGACATCGCTAAGACCTACATTAGACGTCCTAAGTATCTGGTAAAATTTATAATATCAACTTGGCGCATACAATATTATGCGCTAACTCGGTTAATTAAAAATGTCTACTTGCTTTGGTTAATATTATTATTATTCATATTATTAATTTTGTTTAGTTATTTATCGTTTAAAAATATTTCTCAATTTTCTATATTTTATACGTTATGATCTATAAACTATAATCTATACAATTTTTAAATTAAAGAAAATTTAGTTTAGTTATTAAGTGTAACTAAGCTACAAGTATAATGAGAGAATTTTAACAAAAGACATCAAAATTGCACCAAGACGTTCACTTTGCGTTTTATAGAATAGTAATGATATTTTGTATATATATATATATATATATATATATATATATATATATATATATATATATATATATATATATATATATACATATATGCAAAGATTTGTAATATCTTGCTGTAGAAATAAGTAAATAAATAAATAAATTGTAAATATTTTGTTGTTCATGTGTTGTTTCATTCAATTTGATGATTTTTCCATCATGGGTTGTATATATAATTATTAAGATTATTACTTATGTTAATACCTCGTTACTGTATTGTTTTATTTAATTTAATAATTGTTCCATTGTGGGATGTATATATAATAATTTATACATGATTTATACATTATATTATAATGTTTACATAATGCATACATATTCATTATATATATATATATATATATATATATATATATATATATATATATATATATATATATATATATATATATATATATATATATATATATATATATATATATATATATATATATATATATAATATATATATATATATATATATATATAATATAATATATATATATATATATATATATATATAATATATATATATACATATATATATATATATATATATATATATATATATATATAATATATATATATATATATATATATATATATATATATATATATATATACACATGATATGTAATGTGTGTATGCGTGTGTGTATGTGTATGTTTGTGCATGTGTGTGTATTGATAAATGTGGTATACTATTGGAAATACAGCTCTGAATATGCTTGCCAATATCATCTCAGATATGCTTGCCAAGTATGGAGACAATCTAAGCAGCTTGCTTTTTTAAGACTAACTTACCTCCAAAACAAAGCTCTAAAATTAATTTACTTTCAACATACTAATTCGAACTGTAGCATACTCTATTTTTCATCTAAAGTCCTTAAATTGTGTGACCTTATTCAGCTATCAAATTGTCTATTTGTTTGGAACCAAAATCATAATAACTTACCTATTACATTTATCAACTTTTTTAGTTATAGGGAAAACTGTAAATATATTCTACGATCTGCTCTCAACTTTAAATTATCTGTACCTAAATACCGAACTGTTCATTACAGCTAAGAATCCATACAACATAAAAGCATACAAACCTGGAACAATCTCCCTTCCCAATTAAAAACTCTTAAATCATTCTCAAAATTTAAAACTGCTCTCTTTAACCATTTTTTAGAAAAATACTCTTTATAAATCTTTTACCTTTTTACAACTTATTATTTATAACGCAGTGCTTCTATTCTTTTAATTTTTCTCATTTCTATCGTGATATATTACTAATTTTAATATCAATTATTAAATTTATTATTATAAACTGATATGTTTCTATAGTATTCTCTTATCACTGTTGTTGTTATTATTGCTATATTTTATATCATAATTTATATCATTATGAATATTATTGTAATTGTTATTATTGTTGTTGTTATTATTTTTGTTGTTATTATTGCTATTATTATAGCTATTATTATTATTATTATTATTATTATTATTATTATTATTATCATTATTATTATTATCATTATAGTATATTCTTTTTATAATCGCTACTATTATTTTTTTTTATCACTATAATCACTTCTATTACT